TATATATGATTTGAAGGATTTGCAGCCTGCTGCGTATAATACTAGAAATGTTTTTACAGGTGGACATTGAGATAAATGGAGAACCCAGGGAAATTCATATGAAACTTGGAGATTCTGGCGAAGCATTTTTTGTTGAAGAAGTTAGCTCAAATGGATCTCCGACAGACACCGAAATCCCACCGCATTTGGCCTGTTCACCTATACCCGATAATTGTTTCCCACCGCCGAAATTTAATCTGTTGTCAGATTTGCCTCAGGAGCAGAGAGAGAAGATTCTCATAGACTCAGTTCTTTCCATAGAGCGAGAGAAATGGGAGCAGATGTCCGCCTTGCCACCTGATCAACGGGAGAAGTTTCTGATTGAACAATTCTCTGATCTTCCCGCGGAACATCGTGAGAAATGGCTTCAGATTGCTTCATTGACTGTAGAAGAGCGAGATGAGATGTTCAAGGAAAGTTTCGGTACCATATCTCCAGAGCAGAAGCAGCAGATGATCAGGGAACAGTATTCCGCTTTGAAAACAGAGGACAAAGAGAGATTGTTTAAGGAGAATTTTCCTGAGCTTTCGATCGAACAGAGACAAAATTTCGAGAAAGCTTTATTGAGTGATTGGAAGGAGAAAGAGGAAAAATGGGAGGAGAAACACGATAAGAACGATGACGAAGAGATATTTGATATGGATGCTATCAGTAATGAGCAGCCGAAATCAATGATTTCTTGTCCGAAGTCTTTCGTGGCTGTTACTTCGTCCGAGAGAATTCGTAAGATAAGCGTGGTGAAAAATGATTTTAGGCCGATTACGGATGACCCTCAAAGCATTAATAAGGAAAAATCTAGTGACGAATCAAACTCTTCTTCGAGCAAGAAGAAGGAAGAGAATGTTGATGAGAATAAGAGTAACAATTCGACTAAGAGGAAACGTAAGAGGAAGAGTATTATGAAGAAGAAAGGCTCGCAGAGGAAAACAAGCAATGGCAATATCAGTCAGACAGAATTGAGTGAGACTGATGCAGTTTTTACCGAAGAGTCAATTAGCGAAACGGTAAGTGATATTATTTCAATGAGCATTGTATTTCTTATTGTTATATTTTAGCACACTTATTGATTGAAGATATTTAAGGGTCCTCCTCCAACGGCAGAGGAAGAAACTAATATCATTGCGGAATCAGCGACATCCTCTCAGGACGTAATTGAAAAACGACCTGAAACTGATTTCCACTTCTTTAGTGACTCAGAAGTTACTAAGTATGTAATTTATATTTTTTAATTAATTTATTTATTATTAATACATTAATATATGTGTATTATATTAGTATATGTATATATGTTATATGTTATATATGTTATATTATATTACATTAATATATGTATATTAGATGTATTTATTAATATACTATGTTCAAATGTACTATGTTCATATGTAATATGTTCAAAAGAAATAAGGACTCCAGACCATGTTCGCCTGTTCAATCGGATACAGAATTTGAAGTACGTAAAATTACGCAAGAGAGTAGTGAGAGAGAAGATGACAAGGGTCATCAGCAGAGTTGGAGATGGGGTGAATTGCCCAGTCCACCTCCAGAGCCGGCGCATATGTCGCATAGGAATTCGTTAAATTCTTTGGCAACTGCTAGTCAGCCAAATAGTTAGTACATGATTTCTATTTACAGTCAACATGTCAAACTACATATATACTGTTCATGATTAATATCTTATTGTACGGTTCTAAATGGAAAACGCTACTACTATCGATCGTTCATGTTTCGAGAAACTAATATGCCTGAGTCTGATACATACAATTATAACAAGTCAATGTAATGTCTTGTGAAAATTCTCAATCTTTTTTTTCACGAAAAGAAACTAACTCGAATGCTTCATCACTAACTGTTCACTAACCATTCGCTTTTTTAATGGCACAGAAGATGCACAACGATCTATGCTCAGTGGCATGTTCTCCTTTATGAAGAAGACTTCTCGCGTAAGACACAATCCGGAATCGGAAGGAATTTATCTTAGCGATCTTAATGCCGACGAACTGGATCCCGAAGTTGCGGCTTTGTACTTTCCCTCCTCACATCGAGGCCCAACAATGATTAAAGGTATATGGTAAACTAGCTTTTGCTTTTGCATGTTAAATGCATGATGCGTCGAAACTAACATGTCAGTAAATGCTCTTCTGATTATCGTATCATAGTCATTAAATAAAACGCATTTTTTAATTTTTTTTAAATTATTTTTTAGAAATCAATATTCTTGAAGTATTTAATATAAATATTTTCAATAATTTATAGGACTATCTTTTTGCTTTTTGAGAAAGAAAATAAAAGAATTGATTTTCAACTTTTTAGTATAACAAGTAAAGATAAATAACTAATAATTAATAAAGTTGTATGCTGTGTAAAGTTCAATTTTCATTGTTTACTCATTTGATTGTGTTTTATTTTGTGGTATTGTTCTTCTACATTTTACGTAAAAAAATATAATATATGTTTTATTATGTTAGATGGAAAAACGGTAGATGAAGAAGATACAGAATCAGGTAACGGACCGAGTTTACCTCAAAGCCCCAACAGTGTTGAGGGAGCTATCGGTGGACCAAAGTCTTTGGATAGCGACTTCGAGGAACCAAAGCATTCTATATTCGATAATAGCATAGAAATAAGTTTATCTCTATGCGGTGGTTTGGACAATGAAAATGGACCATCCAAGGAAGCTTTTAACGAAAATTTACTGCACTTTGAGGACGTTTGTACCGATCCAAAACTATATGAAAATCCGAATTTGGTCGTAAAAATCAACGGGAAATTCTACAATTGGACGACAGCTTGTCGGATAGTATTGACCTATGTTGTTTTCCAAAGACATTTACCGCAAAGTGTAATCGAAAATCTATATATGTCATTGCCGGTACATGAAGATAAGAAACGACAGAGCAGCGATAAGTCCGAGAGTCGTAGTGGATACAGTTCATGGTTCTCTTGGAGGCGTTCCACGCAACCTTCTAAAAAATCGCAGGATACTCAAAGTAAGATTTCTTAAACTTTTGATTTTAAAAACTTCTTATCTTACAAATAGTTATACTTATTTTGATAAAATATGACTTCTCTTTATTACAGACGACGAAATTGCTGTGCAAACACCAGATCAATCTGTAGAAGTTAAGACTGTGACAAACGATGAATTATCTTCGGCTAATAGGTAAATCGAAGCTCTCGAGTTTCTGTATTTTTTTATATTTTATTTTTTACATTCTTTAATTCTATTACATGTTTTTCAGGGAAAAGACTGAGCAAAACACAGATTCGTCAAGCTCAACAGAGATAATGGAAATAATATCTTGTACAAGATTGCCACCTGCATCGAATGAAACTACACTTACAAAGACTGAAAAAACACGTGAGGGAGAAGGCGAAGGATATAGTGGCGGTGAGGATTCTGACAGTAATCATAACGAACCAGCGGGTGTTAAGATACCTGTGGAAAGAAGACCATATTACGAGTCCACGGAAAAGTATCGTAAAACTCTGCGACTCTCGTCCGAACAGATAGTAAGTATTTTCATGTACTTTTCACAATTGCATAAAATATGAAAAAACGACTGAATTTTAATTTCTTTACAGGCTAGTCTTGATCTAAAGGACGGCGCTAACGAAGTAGTCTTTAGCGTAACCACTGCTTACCAGGGTACGAAACGTTGCAAATGCCATATCTACAAGTGGAAGTGGGACGATAAAATCGTTATTTCTGATATCGATGGCACCATTACGAAATCCGATGTGTTGGGTCACATCCTACCAATAGTAGGCAAGGATTGGGCTCAATCCGGGGTCGCTCAATTATTTACGAAGATAAAAAATAATGGCTACAAACTATTATATCTCTCAGCGAGAGCAATTGGCCAGGCTGGTGGAACTCGGGAATATCTGAGAAACTTGAGACAAGGGGATCTGACGCTGCCAGAAGGCCCGTTACTCTTGAATCCTACGAGTTTGATTCTGGCATTTCATCGCGAGGTGATAGAGAAGAAGCCAGAAGAATTCAAGATATCCTGTCTGAAAGATATTCAGGCGTTATTTCCTGAAGGATCTGAGCCATTTTACGCTGGATATGGAAATCGCATAAATGTATGAATAATAAATTCTATTTATCAATTAATTAATTGAAATGAGTGGTAAACTTTTTGTAAAAAATGTATTAATAAATGTACTATGTAGAAAACATTTTATACGTAGGATGTGTGGGCGTATCGAGCAGTAGGCATTCCTATAATGCGGATCTTTACTATAAACCATCGAGGAGAATTGAAGCACGAATTGACACAGACATTCCAATCTTCGTAAGTATTATGTCATATTATTATGTCGTTTATTAAACTAATATTTCTTTTCTGTGAAGAAATATATAATAGCAGAATAAAGATATTATATGTCTATTTCATTGTTGTACATGATAATAACTTAATCATTATTTTATTTTTTTATACTTTTAACGCATATAACATCTTGTGTTTTATAGCATTTCTTCTTATTAATGCAATTCTTTAAATGCTATACTTTGTATTAAGCTTATGGCACGCAATACATTTTTTCTTGCTGGATTGCTTGTGTTTTAAAAATTACTAGAACTGCACATAGAACGTAGAATTTCTAATAATTTCTAGTAATTTACTAAAATGCAAGCAATTCAACAGCAAAAAATGTCCTATGCCGTAAGTTAGTCTCGAGTAATGTAAGTGTCTAACTAATCTTAAAGTAGTATTATTTTCAGATGGGATATGCAACTAATAGTAGCTAATTATAATTTGTATATGGTACATTTAATATTATTGCTTGTCTTAATTAATTTTTGTGTTTAATACTTACTAATTTTTATGTTTAATACTTACTGACGGCTTTTATGCTCAAAATTATTTCTTTTAAATATACTAATGATTTAAAATTGTTAAACGGGATGTCACCTTTCCTACTAAACTGTGAAAGGATTTGAGCAAAAATGAAGTTATTGGTTGAAAAAAAATAGAAATACAAATTTTCAGAGGGTGTTGATAGGTCGGATATTTCTGTGATTACAGTTATGCGCGTCAGTGCAATATCGTCAATGACGTGTTCCCGCCACAACCTATGCCAAACGTCTACTGATAGCACAACCATAAATTTTAATAATATTGATTAAATTAATTATATTGAAGTATTATATATTAATATGCCAATAGCATATCCGGCATTAATGCATTGTTGAATTATGTTTGAGATATTGCCATACATAATTGCGCTACATTTTGTGATAATTGACATAGTACAAAATTAAAATATATTTTATATATGCTGTGAGTACACTGAGAACACACGAGTGATATAACAAACAATCAGGGAAACTCGTTTCCAATTATAAATATTTAAATTACATATGTTAAATGTAACCATAATTTGCTTATATTTTGGAACATATTTGGTTGTGCGCGACAACTTCTATCTTCTTATGATTTATAGGGTAAGCACTTGTTTTGTACACATGCTTTTTTATCATCGCTTGATATGCTTTTATTTCTAGCCATCCTAACATCTCGTCATTGGGGATATTTTGATACATTTTCCACTTGTTTCGGGCAATAATGAGGAAGAGATAGTATTAATATAATTTGTCACTCATAACTGTTTTCAGATATTATCGTGAATGTATAAGTGAAGGAAATGTTCATCGTGTCTATCAAATTCATTTTATTTTTTTATTTGCTTATCGCTCATAATTTTTCAACCAAGCACTTCACGATCGCTCTCGCATAAATTGATTCTGCATTCAAACATTAATGATATTAATTAATGATATTAATGATTCTTATAAAATAGTTATAACTTATAAACTGTATATAAATACGCTTTCATTATTTATATCAATTTTTTTTACAATTAATCATAACATTACGATTTTCATGTCCGTGTGGTTTTTCTACTCGCAATTTATTATATGCTTATTATATGTTTCTCAATCTAATCTAAATTTCTTGTGTTGTATGAACTTTATATTCTAATCCAACTTATTTAATGTGTATGTGTGTATACATATACACACATATTGCTACAATTTGTTTCATACATCAACAAATATATTAAAAAGATCGAGATTGATAAAATTCATTATATTTCTTTATTTCACGTGAATTCATTTTATATAAACGAGTATTATAATATAGATGGCAATTAAACATTCATTTTTCAGCCATACTGTTGGCACAAGGATATGAACTTGTTTTATTGTGTGCTTTGCAATTTTTGTTTATTCTCTGATTATAGATATTCGAACATGAGTTTCATCGTCGACCAAGTATTTCCAGCACGGCGAGAAGACGCAACTGATGAATTTAGTAATTTTGCGTACTGGCGAGATCCGATACCTGAAGTACCGAAACTCGAGGAGCTTTATACTCAAGCTATAATTACCTAAGAAACTGTCTTTGTTCTATAACCGTCATTTGCTTGGACTATGAACGATGATTATCATATTAACTAACTTTTATACTTTGTGCGTTGATCGTAGTGACTTTGACTGGTGTGATTGTCTAATGTAATACATCAGGAAAAGTTAATGTGAGCATTTAATGCTTTTTTTCATATTGGATTTGTTATTTAAATATTAAATAATTTGTGAAAAGATCTAGAAGAGAGATCGCTTATATACATAATATATAAAATTCTAATATTTAATTTTTATATATACATGTACACGTTTGTATCATTTATATATAAAAATAAGTTAATGAGATCAAGTTTTATTATATATATATGATCTCTCCTCGAACAGTAAATTTTATCAAGATACACGCCAAAACATTCCAGCTTCGTTATATTAAGAAATAACGAAAGTTCTTTGCGTTAAATGATACCAAATACATTCTACAGTCTCAATCGAATTTAATCACACTAGCCAATGTACACAACGTGCCTAGAAACTAGACACTATAGCTGCGTGCTTTATGGTGTAATGAACTGCGAGTATATATTGTATCACACACTTCAGGAGTCTGCAATCTGTTCTAAATGACATTTTTTTGTTAGAGTGAGCGTAGAATATACTCTTTGGGAATTGTTAATTAAGAGTTTCTTAATCTTTGTCATCTAGCGCGAATCGTTTATGTATTTGTGGCTCCTGCTAGAGAACTTCGCTTGTTGCTACACACGTACAAGTTTTATATGAGCATATAATTGTCCGCGTATGTCAATTTTCTACATTGAAATGCGTTGGAATTTCTCTTAGTCTCTAATCGATAATAAGATATTCTTTTAGGACGTAAGAGTAGGCGCATCAGCAGGCGGATAATTAAGTGTTTACCGCTTACGTTCCTTATTTTTAGATAGTTATAATTTCAGAGTTATAATTTATTTTTATATAAGATCTCGATTAAGTTAGCGTGCTGTGAAATTGCCATATCCTCAAAATGATATTATCATTTACATTGTGATATTCTGATCAAAGTAGAGATTATGAAATAGATAACGTGTATAAACGTGGATTTCTTTTGAAAATTTACGTTAAACTAGTATATATATAAAGTACGAATCTATATTCTGTAATTTGTACATGATCTAATTTTATTTAATTATTCTCTTCTCTCAATCATGGTCCTTTAATCAAATACATTCTATCAACTTTTGCTCTTTCATATGTTATAAAATATTTTTAACGTAGTAGAAATTAAGTTATCATTGTTTTAATTTAGTTAACATCACGTAAAACTAATGCTGACGGATTCACTACTTGTCCTTCTTGAGTCATACAATTGAAGTAACAAAAGTACAACTGTATCCAACCAAAGAGGATAGAGTTATATTCACAATAGATTATATCTTTATTGCGCGATAATGCATTCATTATAAGACAGTGAGACAGGAAAATTGCAGAACAAAGCACGAATAATTAAAAAAATATTTTGATTTAGACAAATATTAGGCACAGAATGACAGAGGAATTTATGACAAAAAATAATACCGTATATATTTTGTATTGTTAATTTAGAACAGACTTTAATTTATATGTAATATGTAATGTTACACTGTAAATTTATAATTGTTTAATATTATTTTGTAGTATTTATCTATTTTGTTAAAAGCATTATTCTTGGTACAAATATATTTAGACAAAGTTTGTTTATAATTTCTTTATTACTTTTTACAATTTGTTTATAAGTCATGGGATAATTATTCTTCGTAATAATAAAAAGAATTTTTCATTTTCTAATAAGCAAAACTAGGATTGAACAAACTGGAAATAATTATAAGACACATCTTTCTATTGAATGATCTAATTTTTACAAATGGGGATAATGCATAAAAATTATTACGGAATAATATTAAAAATTTATGTTGCACAAGATGACATATATCTATTAAGTTTTATGTGTTAGTAATAGTATCACATTACCTGTAAGATGATCTCATCGTAATGCAACCTGTTTTTAGTTTACTTAATTCTTTTAGCAGTATTAGCACATCTCTCAACTTCTATATATATATATATATAATATA